GCAGCCTTCGAATTGGGACAGCCTTCGTCGCGTCGCTGTGACGTAATCGGCCTTAAAATGCGGCCTTTAAGGCTGCAGACCCTGAATTGGGATACAACCAAAGACTGCTTTGTTTTCATGTCCAGCTCATCTCCACCCCTGATGTGGGTCACATTCTGCAGCAAGCCCAAACCAATTATAAACCTCAATCTCTTCCAAATTAAAGAACTAAGAAATGCATCAAATTTTGAGTAACGTATCTCTGAGTAATAGTACAGTCAGTGACGTATGCTGATCCTCTCGCTCCGTGTTCAGTCCTTGCACAAGTTAAACCAATTTTTTTGTTTGTTTGTTTGTTTTTTAGGGAACTGAAAGTGAGCCAACTCTACAAACTCCTCCTTTCAGTTTGGGTCCTGGTGTCATCAGTATGACTGATTGTTCAAAGCATTGTGTGTCCACCCAGAGACATGTACGTGCTGTTTGTAAAAGGTTCGGTAATCCTGGTTGTGTTTGTTAAAAATACACATCACTGGGGCTTCTAAGTGTCTTTTCTTATGTTTGACTTTCATTGTTAATAAGAATGAGTAGAAAATATGACCTGTCAGCATGTGTTGGACACAATGAAGACAGGATTTATATTTAAGTTACGTTTCGCGTTTAACAAAACGACCCTTTGTTTTATCGAAGGTTTTATCTGGCACGAGAAATTACATCAAGATTGCAAGCCTGTTGACTAGCTTGTGCAAAGTCTGTCCTCTGATAAAGACAGTAGTGTAAATCTGGTAACTGTGACTTGGCAAAAATGAACTTCATATCGGTCTTCCTCTTGTTCTTTAGATGTCTGTGAATCCCAATTTGCAGACTCACCGTGACTCAGCTATGTCTTTGATAACAAAGACAGATTCATACATAGTCTGTGTCAATCACTGACGAGTCTCATGCAGGGCAGATTCTTAGTGGAGGCTATTCGTTAGCATATATTACATTATCATAAAGCATGCAGATGTGTAGATGAGACGTTTACATGAAAGGAAGACATTGAGAGCAACACACACACACACACACACACGCATGAATGTCTTCACAGTCCAGCATCATGCAGCAGATTTATTGTATCCATGAACCAAAAGATAAGAGAAGCACGGCCCACCTGTTGTCGCCTTTTATAGGCTGCAGACACCAGCTCACCAACCACACTTTGCACCACCGCAGCTGCCCAGGTCTCCCTCAGCTACATTTGGAAAAGTGATTCAAAATGACAATGATACTGGGTTACTGGGATATTCGCGGGGTAAGTTCTACTTCCATTGTTGAATTAAAGAGAAACAAATCTAATATGAAACAAATCCAGGAAATGTTGAGTTTGTATTTACAGTGTAATAAAGTCACCCTAAGCGTGCAGGGTCAAAGGAGGCTGACTGATTGTTGTAGCACTGCTGTTTAGTTATTATATCAAACAGAGCTAATAAAAAAATCTAGATCATCTTCAGCAGCTGAGGTCAATAAATGTACTGTCAATAAAACAACTGTTCCTAATTTTTGACCTTTTTAACAGGTCCAAAAGATATAATGAGGTTATTTTGTTGCCTTTTATTTTTACGCATTAAAGTAACCAACCCTTTAAGATGGTTGCAAGGCGGTTTTCTTTCATGTTATTTCATGCTAGAGTTGACTCTATGAACACTTTGATGTAATCAGATGAAATTTGCAAAAATGGATTGATGTGGATCAAAAGTTTTGCAGGTGACCAACCTCCTAATTTCTCATCACACAATTCATTTTTAATAATGAAAACTGCATTCTGCCAAGAGCAGCACAAGTTGTGTCCTCCAAACGAAGAGAACCAATGATGTATCTACACATAACACAGTGTAGGTCTTACACGCGTGTTTGGCATCGCAAACGTCTGAAGGGGAATTGATGAAACGACGAACGTCTCCGTTAGAAGCTAGAGTAGGTTGACTGTGGTTCAGTATGTGTGATCTCTGGACCAATACAGCCCAGGGGCCTTATTCTACTTTATAAATAAGAAATTTGTCTAAAAATGGATGTGCAGAACAACGCAAATCTGTAAGTTATTAAAGTTACTGCTACTGTGCCATGTGCGTAAATGCGCAAATAATCTTTTTCCTGCGTTTCATGTGAGACTACGATTATTTAAGTCAGTACTGCAAGATTCCAGTTGCTATCCAGTTGCTCACTTTCAAATACTCTAGGAGTATACTAGCAGAAGCGGCCGCAAGCCTAAAAAAAACACAGATACGTGTGTCTCACCTGATTATTGGACATTTGCAGCTTGGCCAGCACGTCCGCCTCCTGCTGGAGTACACCGGAGACAAGTATGAGGAAAAGCAATACGTCTGTGGGGAAGGTAACTAAGCATTTTAACCCAGTGATACAAATCTGTCATAATT